CTGTAGAGATTTCGTTTTTTGAGCTTTTTTATTGTCATAGGAGTTTTTCGATTATTATGCTGTATAACGTCTTTTTGGAAAAAAAAATCGTAACCATGGCTTCGAAGGTTTTACTATATCAGATCGCTACAATGTCAAAGCATTTCCGTTACTATCAAAATCCATTGTTATATACTCTAGCGATTTGACTGTTAAGTCGCATAGTGATCATCTGATCTGCTCTCTCGATCCGTACGTTCTTACAAGACTTAGTGGTAATGCAATTTTGTGTGATCAGGAAAGCGAGCTAACTGTGTTTGTAGCGCAATAAACCTAAGAAGATCGTGAAATTTCATCTCTGTTTTGATTGTCTCCTACCGCTTTTTGCGACTTCGTCGCCGACATTGTCCAAAAGTTACAAACTTTGTAAGTTCACTCCGTGCACTGTTTTTTTCTTGTGCATTATCAAAGTGGCAGTCCCGAGCGAACAAGGCGGGCCCATCTTGCCCGCTCGGGTAGCCAACTAGAACACAGGATTCGCTTTATCTTGCCCGCAGGCGCTGCTCTATTTGTAGTAAATAATGATAATCGAACTTGAGTGGAATGCAATTTGGGCTGAGATCGTGCGCGTGATTTAAAAAATTAAACGAGTGTAAAGCGAGAGTTTGATTTGAAATCATATGTATGATTTCAGACCCGCAAAGTCGCACGACACAAAGATCAATTGCCACCTTATTGCATCCAAGTTTAGATCGCAAAATTCGTTCACTAAAAAACAGGATTTTTTAGTCTGCACAAATATCTAATTGATTCAGTACTGATCTGGTCTGTAAAAGTTGTAAAAGGTGTTTTTTATTCTCCTGCAATTGATTGGGTTTCTTTAAACAAGCCTTGAAATCTGATTCGAGTATTTTAGTAAAGCTTTTTCACTGGCTTGGTAAAAGATGCGGTTTAGATAAGAAATGGTGCGATTCAGGAATAAATTTGCACCAACAAGAGCCAATCAGATTGCAAGGATCGCCAGTAATTTGTTGTATTTATTCTACGGATTTTTCTTTCATATTCTAAACTGCATGGGGCGGCTGATTCAAAATTTGCACACTCACTGTCACTCGAGCTGACAAGCCTTACGGGTTTTTCCTTGAAAAACAGTCAACGACACAAACGATCAAAAGTATAATTTTGGCAAGGCTAAGTTTTTTAAAAACGACGACTGGCCATTTTTTCCTTTCTTTTTTTTGTTTGTTTTGTCTTTTTTCGATAGCGACTTGTCCTATAACCATTTGGAACGGCTGCCTCCTGATGGGTTTAGTAGAATGATTTACCTACAAGAATTGTGAGTAAAACCTCTTGAATTGATATATTTGAACTTTATATTAAAAGAGAGGATCGATATATTCTGATAATAATAATCATAATAATACTTTTATTTAGACACGATAATGTTTAAAGCTGAACAGCTTGTGGGGTCGTGTATCAATGCAAATAAACTCTAAATTAAGTAGATTCAAATAATGATGGCTTTTGAGGAGAGGGGAAAACCGGAGTACCCGGAGAAAAACCTCTCGGAGCCGAGTAGAGAACCAACAAACTCAATCCACTTATGACGCCGGGTCCTGGAATCGAACCCGGGACACATTGGTGGAAGGCGAGCGCTCTCACCATTACGCCAACCCTGCTCCTCTGATTATTCATGATCACTTTAAATAATATATTATGTCCATTTGAGGAGACTTAATCCTATCGACCAACAGTGTTCCTCTCATTTCAAAAATATCACTCCTCGTACATTTGGTTCGAGTAGGTAACTCTTAGTTTAAGCGAAGTCACATCCTCCAAAAAGTACATATTCTGTCCTAATTAAAAAATTAGAAAAAGATACTCCAATCCGAAATGAACCTCAAAAGCATAGTTTGGGAATCCTGTGCTGTCAGAGGCTATCAAAAGCAAAATTTTATACATTTTACAATTTTTTCACGCGTCAGTGAACGTTCATCAAGATAATTGAAGCACAAGGAATATTTGAGGAGCAAGGAACAATAAAAGGGATATTAAAAACGAACAAATGATCAGAGAAACAGAGTGCCAATGAGTAAAGTCCACGTTTTAGGGAAAAGAGGAGCATGTTCTGGCTTTGAATTGCGTGGGTTATTGAGAACAATACTTCCCTGCTAATATCTATGGCAAGTTAAAACTTTCCCCCTCCCCATACGAAAATACAATATCAAATACAAATCCATGATTTCTCCATTTTACGACGCAGATTCCTGAACAACAACAACCTAAAGTACTTGACATCTGATTTTTTACCTAAAGAAAAATGGGCGTCCTTCAGTCAACTAAATAATTTGTAAGTGAAGTGGTTTTATATCATACATAGTGGAGTCATAAGATAGGATAGATCTAGGATAGCAATGTTTGTGTAAATTGTCAGTACACGATGTTTATATTTTAAGAGCACCGTAGTATCTGATTATCTAGGGTATCTACCGTCGTTTTCTGAAAACTATTCTGTTATAAACATGTACCTCCTTCCATCAAACAAACACTATTCAATTAGTGAGATGTTACAAAACACCCACGCGGTCAATAAAACCAATGAAGTCTCAGGTACAATTGTAGTGTATGATCTCGCCTGTGACGACAAAATGATGAGATGATAAGTGAGTTGGACTATTGAAGTCACAGAATGCGAACTTAGGGGCGACAATTGTAGTACGCCAGATCTTTTTTTATACAAATAAACAGCCATAAATAGCTGTTTCGGCCTAGCTAGGTCTCTCCACATCTTCCACATCATTCCATTTCCGAACCTGTAACCAATCATGTCAGTTGTACCATATTAGGCGGCCTGATAAGGGAAATACAGCTGGCGAGCTATTAAATCTTTTTAGTGGCCGAAAAGACCTAATATTACGTCGCAACTATTTCCGCCGTTATGTAGACGGCTAGGCTGCAACATCATGATCACTTTTACTGCAATGTCAACTTCAGAACTGAAATACTGCACAACCTCAATCCATATTTACTATTCTTCTGAGTGTAACAATAGGTCGAAAGTTACATGTGCCACGAAAGAAGATATTTCGCCGAAAAAAAAAATTAGCATGTCTCTCCACAGAACCCTGGATTTCAACAAACTGGAGTCGCT